ATATTTTATGTCAAGGTTCAACGATCGCATAAATTACTATCTGAAGAAAAGGTTAACGATCACTTTTGTTCTGAGACAATAGGTCACCTGCTACAGGAGTTTAAATCACCAAAAATTATGATTTTTAGCCTTTTTATATTTCTAACTATTGATTACTATACCTCACTTTATATTGTGAAGGTATTCATTACTTGGAAAACTTCCGAGAGGCCCGGAAAGGACCGGAAATTTGGCCCAAAAGCTGTCCGAAAGTTCCGGAAAGGACCGAAGCTGACCGGAAAGGCCCGAAGCTGACCGGAAATGGCCCGAAGCTGACCGGAAATGGCCCGGAGAATGAGCTCCTGTTTCATCAGCATTTTAAAATAAGCAACAACAGTGCAATCATTTATTTCAGTTGTTTTTTTATTTTTCAATCATCAGTGATTACAATATAACTTAAAAAAGATCGTAAATAGATATCCTATGTTGCGAGGCGTGACTTAGTGTTTTACAATTGTTACATAGTTTGGAGTAACTTTTCGCGGTATCATAATTCAGAGGAAATTTATGTTTACAAATCGGGCAGGTTAAGATCATACTGAAGCGAGGAGATGGATTTGATAAAGCATCGTGCCAATGGCATTTTGGGCATGCAGCTATCATTTTTACGTCAACATCTTGGTGATCGCAATGATCACAACGCTTTTTGTCATTTGGCTCTTCTTCTTCACTTTCTTGTTCTGAATTTTCATACTCCTGCTCTTCATCATCTTCCAAAGCTTCATCTGATTCTGAATCTTCCGACTCTTCTTCTTCGGTTTCCGAATGTTCGCTACTGATGGAGCTTTCTTCGCTATCATCACTATCGGTGATTTCTTCAAAGTGACGATTCAGTATTCCCTCCTTGTCAAGAATTGGTCTCAAGGCTTTTTTATTCTTTATCCATTTCTTGTTGATTCCGAGCTCCGCSAGTCCTTCCAGGAACGAATTGAGGGCAAGCGGTTTTCTGACATCGTTATTGAAAGGAAGCAGCAGATACTCCAAAAGTTCTGAGATGTTGGTTTCGGGGATACGACGTTGATTACGGAGTAATTCCCCTCTCGGAGTCCAAAACAAAATGTTTTTAGATGCAGCCATACTGTGCAAAAGATCTGWAGCATGCTGTTGAGAAACAGAACCAGGGAGCTCTTGTAACACTAACTGGATTATAGGCTCTTCATCATCATCACTTTCGCTATCTTCATCATTAGGTATTTCATGAATTTCTTCAGCTTCATTATCTAAAGATGACTTTCTATTCATGATAATAGAGAAGGTTACTGCACCGATGTCCAAAGCAAATGACTGCTSATTSCTYCAGCTGACGAATTTATAGCAATAAAAGAGCACTGAGGAAGGGGGTCAACATATCTGGAATAAATGAACCCTCTTGCACGAGAATCTGTTTCTTTTTCTTATATGGTGTGCTTGGGTCTTCGAGTTCTTTGATAGAATCTTTAAAAGGCATCAAGATTTCTTYTTCTCTATTACTCAAAGGGATATGTCCTCTGCATATATTATGTGACGCTTGAACAATCGCATGCACCTGCGCCGGAGTTGCCGTTTCAAGCAAAAGCTTTCGTTAATGATGTGGGCAATAAGCTAAGAGTTGTAAATAGCTGCGGTTCTTCTTTACCACTTGAGACATGATGGTAAAATGATTAAAGCTTATATTTTTTCTTCCTTTTAAATGATCAAACTGATAAGGTTAACGCTGATTGGCTCTCGCGTAGAACCAGCACAACTTCTAATGTTTACGCTACAGTTGAAGGCTAGAGATCAATTGTTTACGCTACAGTTGTAGGCTACAGATCTATTGTTTACGCTACAGTTGTAGGCTAGAGATCAATTGTTTACGCTACAGTCGTACGCTACAGATCTATTGTTTACGCTACAGTTGT